GCGGCGGCGGGGAGGCGCTGAGCCCGCCTTGCCCGCACCAAAACCTGCCCGTGGGGCGGCCCAGTTCGTACGTGAATGGCATCCTGGCTTGTGTCAGCACTAGCGTGGCCAGCAGGGACAGGGAAGGGATCTGACCCCTGTACTCGGCACTGGTGAGGCCGCCCCTCGATTCCTGTGTTCAGTTTTGGGCCCCTCACCCCAAAAAGGCCATTGAATGACTCGAGCGTGTCCAGAGAAGGGCAACGGAGCTGGGGCAGGGTCTGGAGCACAGGTCTGCTGGGGAGCGGCTGAGGGAACTGGGGGGGTTTAGTCTGGAGAAGAGGAGGCTGAGGGGAGACCTCATGGCCCTCTACAGCTCCCTGACAGGAGGGTGCAGAGAGCTGGGGATGAGTCTCTTGAACCAAGTAACACCCGATAGGACAAGCAGGAATGGCCTCAAGCTGTGCCAGGGCAGGGTTAGACTGGATGTTAGGAAACATTTCTTTCCTGAAGGGGTTGTTGGGCGTTGGAATGGGCTGCCCAGGGCAGGGGTGGAGTCCCCATCCCTGGAGGGGTTGAAGAGTCTTGACCCAAGTGCTGAGGGATCTGGTGGAGTTGAAAACAGTCAGTGTGAGGTTAATGGTTGGACTGGATGATCTTTAAGGTTTTTTCCAACCTAGATTATTCTGTGAGAAAAGGGCCTTGGCCTGCCCTGCCGGAGGGTCTGTGGGGCCATGGCTGGTCCCTGCCCCAGGGAGGGGCCCCTGCCTCAAGCAGCACCCCAAATGGCAGCAGGCTGCTGCGGCTGCCTCCTCACAGCATGGCGGGTGGCAGAGTGAGGGGTCAGTTGGTGCTGGAGCCAAGTGTCCCTTCAAGTGTGGGGTGGGAACAAAGTAGCTCCTTTCACCTCTGTCCCTCAAGGAGGTTTCAGGTGGGGGAGAAGGACCCAAAAGGAGGACTAGAGAGCATCCCCAGACCTAAAGCAGACATGGGAGAGCAATGGGTGCCATGGCATTGGGTTGTAGAGCTGGAGCTTCCCGTGTGCCGCTGGGCTCATCAGCGGTGGTTGGAACACAGTGCAAGCAGGCTTCTACTGGCTCCTTGGGACACTGGGTGGACCCACAACAGTGTATTAATGCTGGCTTTGTGGCATGGAGGTGGTGGTATGGTATCCCAGAAACACACTCTTGGATGTTTTCATGACAGAACAGCTCAGCTAATAATTGTTTTCTGGGGCA